CGTGGGCGTCTCGACTTGCTTTCGGTTAATTAGCCAAAATGGCAATTTGAAAAATTAATTTGCAAATAAACAAAGCTAAACCAGAAAAGGGAGCAACGGCCCCCATGGGTTAATGTGGGTGGGCATGGGGCAGTTAAAGTTGAATTTTAATGCGTATATTTCGGCAAATAAACAAATGCATTAACACAAACCCCAAATGCAGATAAACAAATGAGAAAGTTTCATTTAAATGCGTCTTTTTAATTTTAAAAGAGAATAAATTTATTGATAATTTTGTTTAAAATCTAGAAGGGGGTTAAAGTAGAACTTGAAATGTAACAAAACCCATTTCCCCTTTCCAACGCTTTGAGGACCATTTTCCCCCAACTACCCCTATATCTTTTTCCTTAACCACATGGTGGCAAAATCGATTTCGCCTGTAAAAACAAAGGGAAATCTCGAATCTTGTTGACTTTGTCAATGGGTCCTCCAAACATTAAGGGAGGCGAAGATGTGCGATAGGCACATCCTGGACTGCACCCTACACACTCCAACCCCCTACCAAAAACCTCAGACCCTACTATGATCGATATTCCCCTCGAGCCGAGTCTAAGATTACCAGAAAACTTTGACTTTGTCAAAGGGCTTGGGGTATAAACGATGTTCGTGCTGCACGAGGGGTGGGGTTATAATAGGCTTTTTATTCCTTTTTCTAGGGCTGAACCTCACCCACGCACAAATTTGTTTGAGAGCCAGAAAACTGAAAACGTACCCAAAGTCATCTATCAGCTGTTCGGGTATGTATTTGCTTTTGTGTGGGCGACCTTCTCCACCAACTCCCCATTATCCCTGTTTTTGGGCTTACTGGGATGGAATCTGGGGGTTGGTTTTCCTGTGACGTCAGTCACACTCATTGAGGTTATGTTAGGTCCCAGAAAAAGGTAGAAAACCATTGGGGGAAAATTCGTTTTTCAGTGGGCAAGTCTGCGCAACATTTGTTCTGGCTGGAGGTTTTTAATGTGAAGAATGGAAAAATTGTATGGTATAAAACTTCTCCATTAGTATTTACTTTATATTTAAGATTCAAAATGAAATATCTAATGAACACATTGATAGAAAAGGAATTTGCTCAAGAAAAACACTATTTGATATTCGTCAAAAGTGACAAATATCAAAATTTCCAGACAGGTGTACAAATATGTTCCCCAACTTAATCCCACATAAATAAAGGCCCCCAAAGGTGTGACTTTCCTCAGGTGCGAGCTGGAATTGAATTGTAATTATTGTTATTTATTATTGATTCGCACTCTCTGCCCAAAAATCCACGCATAAAACAAATTATTTTTTTTTTTGCACATAAAATGGAATAAAATTTCCATTATGCAAGCGCGTTTGACTGCCCACAAAATGCGTCCTAATTTCCAATTGAAAGGCCAACTCCGAGCTCCGAAAAAACTGGACAATGTGCCAATGCTGAAGTCAAGTGGGCTTTGTGAAGTCTTGTGGCAGCCACAACAGCCGAACAGCCAAACAACCAAACACGGCCAAAGACAACTGAAAAACCAGCAAGCAAATCTCAAACTCCGGTGTCCACAACTTCATTTGTCTCGCTGTCAATTTGTATTTCTTTTTCTTTTTTCTTCGATTTTTTTCCTCTTTTTTCCATATAAATTGGGCCATAGCCGACCGAGCAGCAACACCAACATCATATAGAGTTTTTTTATTTTACCATATATCATCCCATCCATCCATCCAAGTCCAATTATGCACAGCTCAAAAGTTATAAGAAATATTGTATATGTGCGTCGCCCAATTGGCCAACATTTTGGCATTCCGGCCTGCAGAAAACTGAAAACTGAAAACTGAAATCAGAAATACCCCTCGGCCCCTCGATTGATTGACGGCTTGCAATTGTCAAATGTTTCCATTTTGGCAGGTTTTTATTTCCCCGGTGGTCATTAGGGTTAAACTTTTTTTTGGGGCGAAATTTATTGTGACATGGTAGCCCCCCATTTAAATACGCTACAAACTACTTTGTATGCGTTATTTATGAGCGGTTTTGGGGTTTAACCACTAATAATTGGTAAGGAAGTCAGAAAAAAAATATCTCATAAAGGTAAATAGGTAATTCTGGTGAAATAAATTTTAGGCTTATTACATACTTGTTTTCTATTGCAGTAGAATTTCAAGAAATACCATTTTCTACTAACATTCTGAGTAGGATTTTCTGTTGGCAAGAGAATATTATTTATCGCACTGCAAATTAAAGAACTTCCCCTCATAAACTAACTTCCCTCACCTGGTTTTCCTTATCTTTTCGCGACTGATAAAAAACAAAATAAGCTCTTTTTAATGGCCAGCAGAACGCATTTCTTGGGGGAAACGTTCCAAAATTATGCGTTGATAAAGCAAACGACCCAAAAAACAAAAAAATTTATATATAAAAAATTAAAACAAAGTCAAGAAAAACGTGAAACGAAAGCAAACGCAGCAACAAGTTGGTATTGAGCGAATGCGGAACCAGAGAAGCATGAGAAACCGAAGCGAAATGGCCAACAAAAAATGACTATTACCGAGGAAAAATAACCCGTCTGTGGCAGAACCCTATACTGCGAAATAAGGCAATTTTGGGATCGGAATTCCAGGGGAGTAACATTATAATATATGAACAAAATAAATTACCGGCTAGGGAGCTGAAACCCTAAATGAGAAATACTTTAGTAAAGAGGAGAAGCTGAACAAAATATAAATAAATAATGAAGTACATTTAAATTCTAACCCATTTTAATATAATTTTATAAAAAGAAAACTTTGCATTAACACAGTAATAGAAAAATATCTTACAAAACAGAGAAATTTGAAGACTTTTAAGTGATTAACAACAAATACCATAGCATTTATGAGAAAGTTGAATTCGTTATAAATTTGAATCCATTAAATTTTTGCAAGCTACTAATTTAAAAAGATACATTTCACTGTTATGATCGTATTTAATTTTTATTATGCGGTGCTTATATTCATAATGAGGAGCCAGGTTATGGAACATTCGATATGATAACATTATTTAGTCTACAGTTTTAAAGTCCCAGTGTGTAACATTTACAAGATATCACTTAGCGCCCTCTTAAACTACTTTTGTCAAGTGTTTCCCAATTTGGTATATAATTTCTATGGGGTTTTACAACCAACACTTCGGAGAATAGGGCTCCTGATAAGAATTACGTTCTGAGACCACAATCGATGACAGAAATACGATTTTATACGGCTGGCTGCTTACGAAACTCAAAAACGTCGATTGGGATTTAAGTTTTATTATTAATTTTCGTTTTTGTTTTTTTTTTCGTTGATAACACAAGTCTTATCAACAATGGGGGAATATAATGATAGATCGGGTCCCTGGAAGTACGAAACAGTGGGCTCGGAAGCAAACGACCTTCGTGAGGTGAGGGGAAAAAGGGGCCTTGTGGGTGGCGTAGTCTGAAGAACTTCGTAGAAACGATGGAGTGCAAAACTAATGAGGCAAGAGCAAAGCGAAATGCGAACAAATTATAATGAAAAAGGGTAAAAATGCAAATCTAGCAGAAAATAAAGGTAGTCAAAGGGCATTCGAGAGGGAGAGGTGTACCAGGGAGAAAGAGATAGGGCGAATCTTAACCATATGGAGGGAGAGAGAGGGCCAGAGGGACATAGAAAGAGACGGAACACGAGGGTCAGTTCGCCAGCAAACGGTAACAGCTGCTCTTTGGAAGAGTGAGAAAAAGGGAGAAAAAGAGCAGAATGAGGAAGATGACGAGGAAGATGCGGAAGAGGGAAGCAGGCAAAGAAACGCCAGAAGATGGAGAAGAACGAGATGCACAGTGGTTGCACAAAAACCAAAAATTCCGAATAATAAACCCAAAGGAACCCGGAACCCAGAACTCTTAAACCAAAATCAGGTATGTAAGGAAACTAAGGTCCCTTGGTACATACACAAAGTCCATAATTAGGATCTTTTCGGATCAACATTTAGTACAAATTGATGGTTTAATATGTTGCACTAGCTACGAAAAATTATTATTTTGTTACTTTCTTTTAAAATTCAAATGAATTCGTACTAAAAAGTTCATGAATTATTTTAATATTTTTTGGAAACCCAAACATTTCTAGTGATGAATCTAGTATTATTTTGTCACAACCTCCTGATCATTTTCATAACAAACCCACTGTGCCGTTATCCACACAAAACTCTCTTTTTGTCTCCCGTCCACATGTCAGTGTGTGCGTGTTGAGTAGAAGCTCACACACACAGTAGACCCGCAAGAAAGAAGAAAAAAGTAAATAAAACAAGTTTTGAGACGCAGAAGTTTTTCAGAAAAATAAAACAGACTCGCGACTGACTTTCTTTAACATTTTTAGCTTTGTTTCGGTGTTTTTGGGATTTCGCTTTTATTTTTTCGGCAGCTGCTTTTGCACAGAAAGAAAAGTTAATGCGATGCAATGATCAATTTCACGTATGATTTTAGAACAGGTATCCCCACAGGTAAATGGAATGCAAAATATTAAAATCAGACTATCTTGTTTTACTAATGAGGTGATCTTTTCTCACATTTTGCTTACATTTTCATAAAACATCAGAAACAGTTATTATTATAGACTACTACATTGTAACCAAGATTGTAAGATCAAAATCTTAAGAGGAACTCAAATATAATAAAGTTAGTCTGCCTTTTCTGGCTTGAATGGTAATAGATCCCAAGTTACAGGTCTACATAATTTGTTTTCTTCGTTGACAGTTGTAAAAATAGGGACTGATCCGTAGTTCTCTTCAGAACTCATCTTGGTCAAACAATATTTACAGATCAATGGGAAATACATATCGAATGACATAGATATTTCCCGTTGATCTGTAAATGGAGGTGATTTTTTCTCTGTGTGGAGATGCGAGAAACTTGTTTTGGTGTTTTTTTTTCTGTTTTCGGTTTTTGGCAAGGGAAAGAGTGCCAAACTGAGCCCAAGACCCAGTACCCAAAACCCAAACTCACCTGGCAAACGGCGTCTGTTCCACCTCGTACATATCGTTGATGTCGTGACACGACACGAGGAGTCCCTTCAGCCGATCGGCGTCCACGTCCAAAAGTCCGTCGCCAATGGGAAAAATTCCCTTTTCGGTGAACATTTTTTGTGTGTGTGTGCTGGGTGTGTGTGTGAGTGAGTGTGTGAAGATCGAATCTTCTTTCGATTTTTGGCTTTATTTGATTAATCCTTCGTTTGATTTCTTTGAAACTTCCGATTTCTTTGGGATGAGGGGGGCAAAATTCAAATCTCAACTGCACAGAACCAAAAAAAATTGTAGTTTAGTGATAAAACCACACACGCTTAAAAATAATTCTTCGGAAAACGTTGCGCGCGAGAGACAGAGAGAGAGGTGGAGACAAAATTCCAGTACAAAACAAAAAAAAAACTATGCAACTGCAACACACACACACACGCGCGCGCTAAGAGAGGCCCGAAAAAAATTCCCGCGTGTGTATGTATGTGTGATGCTGTTGCTGCCGTGTTGTTGTTTTTGTTATTTTCGGTATTTGCAAGTACCGTTCTCTCCGAAGAACTCCACTTCGTCAATTCAAAAAGGTTTGGTGCGAAAAAGCGGCCCGCAGATTTTGGCCAGGTCTGTTGTTGTTGTTGTTGTTGCGGAGGTACGGTACGAACGTACAAAGGTACAAGAAACTCGCACGAAACAAGCGCGCACGAACCGTTCGTTGGCGGATTGAAATTTCAATTGCCCGAGAGCGTGTGTGTGACCGCGGGGAACCTTTTCTTTAGCGACAGCACTGCTTTCTGTTTCAGAGTCGAAGAGCATTTGCGGGCTCTTTTTTCGATTTCGACTGCGCTGCTCAGCACAACGTAGGCAGACGTAATGAAACGTAAGCAAACGTAAGCAACCGATTTCTGGAATAGAGGTGGAGAAATATCGATGTTTTCCATCGATACATTTACGCTTGCTTACGTTAAACACAAAAATACTGAAAAAACGACGATTTCACTAAACTATTAAAACACTATGGCCGTGTTACCCTAGAGCGGCTAAAAAAATCTTCAAAATCACTTACAAGTAATATAATATATTAATTTTAGACATTAACTCATAATGAAAAATACAACTTAACTCCCTAAAGCTTTTACAACTGGTCACAGTTGTTTGAAAATTCAACAACAAGCATTTAGTGCTTTGCTCAATCTATATATCTTTGTTGAATTTTCGATAACTAAGCAATTTAGCATATTAGGGAATATCCCAGCTTGTGCATATCATCAAAATTCTTATGAAGAGCGAGCGAAATTCATCGATGAGATTCCTAAATATACCAGAAAATACCGAAAATCAGTTAACAGCACTGGTCAACGGAAACTACTAAGATATTTTGAATTTGAAAAATATTAGAAGTCCAGGGTTTAAAATTTGAGTTTTTTGGAAGATAAATGTTATTGTATTATTTTATGAATGCAAGTTAGTAGTAACAAATAACATTAAACGGAAATTATGGGTTTTAAAGCAAAAAAAATTATGTAAATTTTATCAAAAAAAAAAATTTCTCCTCTCTTAATAAATTGAATAAAATTATTTAATTTGGCATTGACATTTATTACAATGTTATTAACCAAAATTCAACATATTTGTTTACACTTGACACTTACTAACCCATTTTATAGCTTAGTTTTTATGTGTTCATTATTTATTAATTGTTCAAAAAAAAACTTTTTCTCTTAGCGATTTTGTGTGGCGCCTGTTTTCGGTGCGTGTGGGCGTGGCGCGGCCCACAAATAGTTGGCATCTCGCATCTCGATTGAATTCTCAATTTTATATTTATATTTATGCTTGCAGTTCCCTGGCTTTTCCTCGCCCTCCAAGTTTTTCCTCCGTTTTCCCTAGCGAGTGTAGGTGTGTCCGCCCGTGCGAGTGTGTGTGTGCTCCACTTGCAAAGGCGATGCACATTTTTCAGGCACTTAAAAAAAGTCATAATATACAAACTATTTTTTAAACCAAAAAATCGTTCGCTACAACTTTACAAATTTCTAAAATTTTGATAAATTTCATGGGAAAGAGACGAAAACTTCTTGAGATTTAGCAAATGTTGTGATAACTTTTATACTTCTTAACACTCAATTTTGAAAACTTATCCTACATATTTCTAAGAAAGATAGCTAGAATTAGTTTGAAGAAATAATAATTTCAACCTTAAGCAGAAAAAAGTTCATATATTTTTTGTCGGTGTTATCGGATTGTCACCACGACGGCATCTCAGGAATAGGAATGCGGAGCCAGAAATAAACCAAGTGCAAAAACCTTTAGCATCCGTCTATTAATAATGCCGTCGTCTCCGGATCTCCTAAAGAATTTGTATTTTTTGTTTTTGGCCGGGCGGTCGCCTCGTTCTTGTTTTTTTTTTTGCCGCAAAACTCGCCAAAAACTCCTCTTGGCAGCCGTTCAAGTTTAGCAGATCCGGCTTTTGACCTACGGAAAATGTTTGGCCACTGCTAAAATAGAAAAATTTCATTGGCGAGCGATCGTGAAGTAGCCGGAACAATGCGAACCGAGCCGATAATTCATTTTTTTTATTAAAATTTTAATTTATTCTTTGATATACGAAGAAAAGTTTTTGACAAAATAGGAATATTAATTGAATTAAACTTAACCATTTTAACATAATTTAAATAACTACAAACTTTTATATTCTCTTAGACATAACCGAAAATAACCGATATAACCGAAAATTGGTAGATTTTTCAATACTTTTTTAAGATGGCCACCCTTTTTTAGGCACCCTGTCGACGAGAATGACATTTGTTTTGACAGATCAAAGTTGGCAGTTCCTTTTCATAGACCTTTTTCGCCAGACACATTGCATTGTAAAGACGGCGTTTTTCATCTCCAAAACCCAAAAATGAAATACAATATGAAGCTGTTACCCCAAAAATCCGTTGTCCAGGTGGATCTGCCTGGCTTCGAGAGCGAGGTGTTCTTGCCCCGAATCATTCGGGGAAGAATTACTTTGAAGAACGTGATTCGGCATCGGCGGTGCTGCCCAAGGGCCAAAACGGATTTGGGCCCCATAACTAAGAGTCGCCTAAGGCTCCTGGCCCGGCGGACAGTCACTGAGATCCGGGACCACGAGCTCTTGCGCCGGGATGAAGTGGACACTGAAATGGATACGTCGCTCAGCCAGGCAACTGCTTCTACCAGCCCGGACATGTGCCGTCCATCGCATGGACGGCAGTTTCGAGATTATTCAGATGATGAGGAGTCGAATCTTCCAGATTGCTCTGATGATGAAGATGATGGTGCAAGTGAAAGCTCCTCCGAAAGCGAGGTCCGTCCGCCAATTCGTATTCCCCAGGAAGGATCAGATTGCTCAGATGACAGTGAAAGCTCCTCTGAGACCGAGAACCGTGAGCCAAATCACCACCACCAGCTCTTGCGCCGGGATGAAGTGGACACTGAAATGGATACGTCGCTCAGCCAGCCAGGTTATTCAGATGATGAGGAGTCGAATCTTCCAGATTGCTCTGATGATGGTGAAAGTGAAAGCTCCTCCGAAAGCGAGGTCCGTCCGCCAATTCGTATTCCCCAGGAAGGATCAGATTGCTCAGATGATAGTGAAAGCTCCTCGGAGACCGTTTTTTATCTCCAAAGCCCAAAAATGATATATAATATGAAGGTGTTATCCCAAAAATCCGTTGTCCAGGTGGATCTGCCTGGCTTCGAGAGCGAGGTGTTCTTGCCCCGAATCATTCGGGGAAGAATTACTTTGCAGAACGTGATTCGGCATCGGCGGTGCTGCCCAAGGGCCAAAACGGATTTGGGCCCCATAACTAAGAGTCGCCTAAGGCTCCTGGCCCGGCGGACAGTCACTGAGATCCGGGACCACGAGCTCTTGCGCCGGGATGAAGTGGACACTGAAATGGATACGTCGCTCAGCCAGGCAAATGCTAACACTAGCCCGGACATGTGCCGCCCATCGCATGGACAGCAGCTTCCAGGTTATTCAGATGATGAGGAGTCGAATCTTCCAGATTGCTCGGATGATGGTGAAAGTGAAAGCTCCTCCGAAAGCGAGGTCCGTCCGCCAATTCGTATTCCCCAGGAAGGATCAGATTGCTCAGATGACAGTGAAAACTCCTCGGAGACCGAGAACCGTGAGCCAATTCATGAACCCCAGAGGAAAATAGTGGTCATAAAGGCTCCTCCTTTTATCGTGAAATATCCGCTCAGAAGGGCTCCCCTCCAGCTGCTCTATCCTCTAAAGGTACCGAAAACGAAGGCTTCCCAGAAGAAGGTGCCGGTCTCAAAGGCTTCCCTGGACCTGACCCGTCCTTCAATTCCTATTCCCCCCCAGAAGTTTCCGGTCAGAAAGGCTCCCCTCCACCTGATTTATCCTCCAAAGATGCCGAAAACGAAGGCTACCCAGGAGAAGTTGCCGGTCACAAAGGCTCCCCCGGGCCTGATCCCTTCGAAGAAGTCTCCAAAGACGAAGGATTCACTGGGCCTGATTATCCATCCAGATTATTCTGATGATGATGATGAAAGATCCTGCGATGCCGAAGTCCGTCAGATATTTCAGACGAAGTTACCGGTCCCAAAAACTCACGTGGACCTGATCTTTCCTCCAAAGACTCCCCCTGGCCTGTTCCGCCCCTTTCATTCCATACCGACCACAAAGGCTCCCGTGGACCTGATCCGTCCGGTTCCACAACGACCCTACTTGGGTAAGAGACGTAGCCCAACGGCATACAACTGGAAGCCTCTTCAGGAGAAGAGCAACGCACCGCTATCCCGCACCAAGGACCCCCATCCCACCTCGAAGATGCACATGGTGCACCCTAAGCTGATCGACCGTGTAAAGACTATTCAGAAGTACCCAAATGCCAAAGATTTTGTGATCAATTGGGATGAGGCGATCAAAATAAATCAGGTGAAGGCCAAAACAAGGAAGCAGTTTAGGGCCTTATCGGCTTATGACCTCTTGACCAATATGTGTATCCCGAACGTGAGCTCAGAATTGAAAGATCTTTGGACTCAAGCGCTCCAGGCCATCGAGAAGCGCAATAAGGTCGCCTCTAGTTGCTGAGAGGGCAGCTTTACTAAATAGGACCAATAGCTCCTAAATCGCAGAAACTTACGGATTCCATTGTATTTTAAATGATGTACATGTCATCCACAACCATCACAATAAAACTTTATAAGCGGTTTTACACTTAAGTTTCCTTAAAACCTTTTTGAACTTAAGTTCTAAACTAACTTAAAAAATAACTGGCTGTTAGAAATAAGATCTCAAAGAGATAAGGCTGTTTTTTAAAGAAAAGTATAAGCTAAGAGCTCAAAATTTGGTTTGGGATCTTATTTTATTTCTTTTTTTATCAAATTTAAACTTTTATTTACCAAATATTAATTAAAAAATAAAAAATTACCCGCTCCGAATTTTTTCAAAGGCTTTTTCAATGATACGGAAATATTTATTTTCCAAAAAATAAAGTAAAGCTCAAAGAAGAATACGAAACAAGGACTTTTTCTAAAATATATATATTTTTCTACTCGAAATATATCCTGAACAAATTGCTACTCATCCTTCGGGATTGCAGATGCCCCAGAGGTATGCATGAATCCGAATCCAAGACGCGCGACGACAACGGAGGACACTTTTTTGAATTTGGCAACCCCAAGATCGGTGAATCACTTTTCGGGAGGGTTGCTTACCAAAATGTGGGTGATGTGGAATGGATGTCAGTGGGCTAATCGGCGCAATAGGGGCACCGGGGACCGGCTGCGGCGGCCTCCTCATCGCCGCTCTCATCCCCGGCGCTGCCAGTGCGGCCACCGCCTCCTCCGCCACCGCCGCCGGAATCCTCGCCCTCGGCACTGCTGCGGTAATCATCGATGATGGCCTGCAACTCCTGCTGGGCATCCTGGAACTCCTGCTCCTCCATTCCCTCACCGGTGTACCAATGCAGGTGGGCCTTGCGCCGCAGCATGGCCATGGAACCGTCCAGTAATCGCTGGAACAGCGACTGTATCGCCGTGGTGTTGCCTATGAAAGTGGCCGACATCTTGAGGCCCCTCGGCGGAATATCACAAATGGCCGTCTTGATGTTATTCGGTATCCAGTCCACGAAATTGTTGATATTCTTGTTCCTCACCCCGGTCATCAGTTGGTCCACCTCGCGCGGCGACATTCTGCCCCGGAAAATGCCCGCCGCCGTCAGGAGTTTGCCCTTCCGCAGGTCGATGGCACACAGCAGATTATTGCTGGAGAAGATCTGCTGCACCAGCTCCGAAACGGTGCCCTTGCTGAACTGCTGCTGCTTGCAGGTGACCAGCGGTGCGAATCCCGGTATGAGGAAGTGAAGCCTCGGGAAAGGCACCATATTCACATAGATCTTGCGCAAGCCGGCATTCAGCTGGCCGGGAAACCTCAGGCAAGTTGTTATGCCCGACATGGTCAGGGCCACAATGTGGTTGATGTGCTCATAGCCGGACATCTTGATCTTCAGGTTCCTATTGCAGATCTGAAACAGCGCCTCGTTGTCCAGGCAGAATGTCAAATGGGAGTTGTTCACCAGGGCCGGAGTGCTCAGCAGGGCATTATATGGCTCCACCACCACCTGGGACATATTTGGCGATGGTATTGTGACATAGTTGCAGAGCAAATTGTCCGGATACTGTTCGACCAGGGCCTCCATTATCAGGGAGGTCAGACCAGAGCCGGTGCCGCCGCCGATCGAGTGGAGCAGTTGAAAGCCCTGCAGCGAGTCCACCGATTCCACCTCCCGCCGGGTGTTGTCCAGCACCTGCTCCAGAATGGCGGCACCATCCGTGTGATAGCCACGGGCAAAGTTGTTCCCAGCACTCTCCGATCCGGCCACAAAGTTCTCCGGTCTGTACAACTGACTGCTGGCGTTCAAGCGCTGGATGGTGCTGGCCTCCGTGTCAATGAGTATAGTGCGGGCATAGAACCTTTTGCTGGCCGTGGCATTGAAGAACACATTAATTCGCTCCAGCTGCAGGGGACTGGTGCCGCCAAATCTACCCGAGGCATAGTCCACGCCATGTTCATGCGAGATCACGTGCCAGAACTGGAAAGATCAGAGGTTTAGGGCATTAGTAGTTATATAGTAGCTACCCACCGAATCACCGATGGCATTGCCGGCTCCGCCGATCTGCAGGGTGACTATCTCCCGCATGCTGACCCAATCTCCGCTCCTTGAAACCACTTAGCTGGAGGCTACTGCCTCATCCTCTCCTCTCCTCGCTCAGCCGATCTGCTTCTCGATTTCTATTGGGGCTCGACTTCTCCAAGCCGTCCTGATCACAACTTTACTTTTCTACCATTTTTCCGAATTTTGTACATAGTCAATGACTTTTTTCACTAAGACCTACAAAATTCTTTAAAGAGCCCAGTAAAAATTATAAATATTTTGACTTATTTAAAGATATATATTTAAGGAGGCTAAGGTTATGCCTGTACGACTGCAATTATAAGATCAAATGCTCTAAAGCTTCAATGGACATAGAAGGATTACCCATCAAGGCTAATCATTTGAAGCTTTAAAGGTGTTATGGTCAGACAATCAATAATATATATCGCGTTTTTTGTAGTAATTGGAATCTAAACACATAAAAGCAAAGACGCACAGTCGGCTTACCACAAAAGTGTACAGTTTAATGAGACAAAGTGGGGGAATTTGGTTTATTTATAAAAAAAAACGTTGTGGGCTTAACTGGCTGCTCCAGAGGCTGGCTCCTCCTCGGCCAGCTACTTGTCCTTCTTGTCGGCGGCCAGGGCGTTGAACAGGCGGTTGACCTCGTTGGCCACCAGGTTGTCCAGGACGATGCCATTCTGATCGATGAAGGCGGCGCAGGACTTGTTGCTGCTCTGCTCGCGCCGCTTGCCGTTCTTCGAGTCGCGGACACTGAGGGTCAGCAGGTACTTGTCGTCGTACTTGCGCATGTCGGAGCTGGCCTCCCACAGGCGCTCGCGCTCCTTCTCCTTCTGCAGGGCCACCGCGAAGGTGCCCTTCTCGCGGAAGCTGGAGTGGAGTGTTAGGACGCCCAGGAGGGCGAAGTAGGCCAGAACGCTGAACATGAGCACCGGACGGGATTCGGGAAAGGGGTGGGTGAAGTCCCAGGCGTGGGCCATGATGGCCACCAGCACGGCGAGGGCGCAGAGGGCCAGGCGGGTGTTGACCAGGCCGAATTGCTCCTTCAACTGGGGACGATCGCCCAGCAGGCAGGTTTTCACCGCATCATCCAGGGCGTGCTTCACCGCGGATCCGTCCCACTTGTTGACCTTGACGAGCTGCAAGGGAATATGGTGGAATTGGCTTAGAAACATCCACAAATCATTATGCACTGACGTGTCTTGGAGAACACATCCCAATGGACCAAGTGCCAAGCCGGCATCTGGTTTACTCACCTCCTCGCCCGGCTGTGACTTTTCCTCCTTCTTGCCCATGTCTAGTGTACTCTTGAAACCTTTTTCCGGCCCTTGGTGATTCAGAAAAGCGTGTGTGGCAAGCAGGAAAAACACTTTTCCGAGGAGATTTCCTTCTTTTTTTTTGACAACGCGACAACAAAATTTGTATCGTCTATCGGACTGAGTCGATAGCCAGCTGGCCCGTGTTGCCAGATCGAACAGGGAAAAATACTAAAAATACCATTTAAGCCCAACAAAGTGCGCGCGTAATTCAAATAAATTGTGATTTCACTTACATATCTTACAAAAACACTAATAAAACACAATAAAACACAGAGAAGTTAAAATTATCATTTCACCAAATTATAAGTAAACATTTTTTTTAACGACCTAAAAATATATTTATTTTGTAAGATTTTATTATTAAACAAATACAATGGCTGCACAGAAGTTTTAAGAATTTGTTCTTAAATATATTTATTATAAAAATAACATTTATTCATTGTGTTCCAGCTTGTCAGTTGGCAATTCGCACAAAAGCGTGTATTTCATATTCAATGATATTACAAATGGCCGAGCCAACTTTCACATAAACAAAACGAAGTTTATACAAAAAAAATGCTTTACAAAAAAGTTTCTATAAATACAGAGTATGGAATCAATTTTTCACATGGACTTCATCTGTGCCATCAGGTCTTCTAGACTCGCTCCGTCTTCGGGTGCAGGCACAGCATCTTCCAGACTTTCGGTAGATTTTTCAGGTGCCTCGTAGGCGAGTCTCAGACCTTCGCCAACCTCAGAGGTTTTAGCTGGCGTTGGATTACTTTCTGGTGCATCCTCGGCCACCAGTTCGATGCCCCATTCGTTGGTGGCATGCAGCGGCTCCTCGCTGGCCGCCTCCTCCTTTATCACCACGGGTTTGGGTCTGGCCTGGAATTCCTTTTGCCTGACCAAACAGTTCCTGTCGTCGCATTGTGGATTCGGTTTGAGCGTCATCTTGGGGAAGAAATCGCTGAGGGCATTGTAGCCCAGATAGTCGGAGACCTCGCCGAAATTCAGCAGATACTTCAGGGCATTCTGGACGAGAAAGCCAGCCGTAATGCCCATGGTGGTGGGCAGAGAGGCGGCGCACACGCCCTCCCTTTTGAGTGTCTTCTCGTCAATGTTCTCGGCCACCACCAAGGGAGGAGCACAAGCGAAGCAGGCAGTGTCGCCGGGACGGATGAACTGAATGTGCCCCGAGACGGCATTCTCCGAAACGCCCGACTCGAACCAGTTGAGATTCCGCTCATTGCAGGCCGCATTGATGGCCATGCGGGCCTCGAAGTTGTCCACACAGCTGAGCACCAGATCCACCGGCTGACCAGCCACACGACCGCCCTGCGAGATGGTGTCCAGGAAGCGGTCGAAGTTCTCCACCGTCGTGATGTTGTAGTTGTGCGTCTCGATCTCCACGTCCGGGTTGATGAAGCCCAGCGTGGCGGCAGCGGCCTGGACTTTGGAGAGGCCCGCCTGGTCGGGCGTGAAGAACAGCCGGTTCATGTTGGCCAGCTCCACCTTGTCGTAGTCGAACAGGATCAGTTTGCCGATGCCACAGCTGCAATATAAATAGGGAATTCAATATATGGTTTGGAATGATCAGGTGAAATATAAATTGGAGTTTATGTGGCATATCTATATTCAGTAAAAATATTTTAGTAAATTGTCTATGCTTTCAAGCTATTAAATGATATTTTATGTGATCATTATACATAAATTCAACAAATTCCTTTTGAGATATCTAGTTTAAAAAATTATATTCAATATTAAAAGAGGGATTACCCTAATATTTCTTTACAGAAAGGTATATAACAGTGGCTTCATTTTTAAAAAGATTTTAAAATCATATAGTTTTAAATGGTGTTCAATATGAAAAAGGGGGATTACCCTGATAATTCTGTATAGAAAGGTTTATAAAAGTGGCTTCATTTTTAAAAGAGACTTTAAGATCATATAGCAGATATCTTGTGGAATACTTATGGATATGATTTGAACCACGAATTTTCCTAAGTCATTGTGATTTCTCGCCGTGTACGAACCGTGTCAGCATGTCGGCGGTGACGCTTCCTACGCCGCCCACGCCCACAATGGCCACCGCCTTGTCCCGGATCCGCTCGTAGTCCTTGACGATGTTCATCCGCTGCAGGGCCATGAGGCGGCTGTAGGGATTGGAGTCCACCACCTCGGCGGACATGCGATCGATGCGATCGCGCACCAGGCGGCTGTTGTTGCTCCCGATCCCACTACCACCGCTGGTGCTCCCGGTGGTCTTCGGGTCCTCCAGCTCCGTCTTCAGCTCGGCGATGATCGCCTGCAGTTCGTCGATGGCGTGCGACATCCTGGCGAATGGGTTCTCCAGCTGCGATCCTCCAAAGTCAGTAAACGGTCGACCTGACTTTCAACTTTCGCTTTTAAGTTTCGCTGTTTTAATCGCAGCCACGTAGTTGTGTTACAACAAGCTTTGTTATTGTAAGTACGGTCATACTGGACAATCGTATTCGATAACAGTCTGGCATCACTGATCTAGAGATGGCCCATCATCGATGGCAAAAATACCGAAAAAATTCGAACGACTTAGACAGTGTTGATAAACGCTGACTTTGGCGCACTTATTTGAAATAGAAAATTCTTCTTAGTTAAGCAAAATTAATACAATTAAAAATGTTTGGAGTATAAAATTGAGTATGTTAGTGGTTAAATTTAAGTTTATTTTACTTCTAAAAAGTGGTAAAATAAATCAGCTCTCCCAGACCAGCCAGAAAAACAAAATGACTTTCATAATTATATGCAATTGTTTTTTTATTTATTTTTGTACCCACTATTATCCATTAAATACGTCGATATCTCAAAGCTTTTCAACCACTTACTCACCTCCTTCGATTCACACCATCGACTTGTATAATTACACAAAAGATTTATTGTCAAAATCATTACACAAAAAAGGTATTATAATTATTAAATAACCAAAAAAAAAAAACATTTAAAAGAAGATGACGATAGTTGTGATTGCTTTGCGTGTTAAATGCGACAAAAAAATAATTATTATACTATTCAATAAATCGAGTGTTGGAGCACGTTTATTATTTAATATTATCAATATTACTGTATAAACCGGTGACTATCACTTGCCAACAAGTAGAGATATATGTATGGATAAGTGTCCGTTCTGTGTAGCTTATTGTGTACTGTGTGCTGTCCGCCATCCGGTGACCTTTCTCCTTTCACCCGGATGACCTGGTTCACCTGGTCCACCTGGTTCGCTGGGTCCACTGGGTTCACCTGCTCCGCGGCTGCAGGCGCACGCGGAAGCCCTCCTCCCGCTTCAGGATGATGTCCGCCTGCAGCTTGAAGTCCGATTCGGTCAGGTCCGAGAAGACACGGTAGTTCCGCAAAATGGTCGACAGAAGGATCTTCAGCTTGAGCATCGCATACTTGCGCCCTAAAAAATAAATAATAGAATAATACAATGAAAAATATTATATGATATAAAATTAATTAAGATTAACTATCTTTTTGTTGCTAAGGTAAAACTATTTATTGGGTATTTAAATTTCGAGAATTTGACTAATATATACCTTGAAAAACACTAACAATATGGTCGAAAATCGTGGGGAATGATGTTTTTCATTCTTATACTTTATAAAATTAGAGTCCTCAATTCGATTTTATAGGATATACGTACATACATTTTATATATGACCAAGTTTTAATATTACAGAAAGAAAATGGAGTTGTAATATGCAACGTCTTAAGTCAAACCATTATAAAATAACTTTAAGAGGAGTACAACTTTTCTGTGAAGAGTTGTGTTTTAAAATATATTTTTCCATCGTTTTACTTGGTATATTACTTTAGCATATTCAGCATATTATATTATTTTTATTTTCGTAATTATAATAATAATAATTTTTTTCCAGTTCAAAACACCTGACTCACCCACACAGCTGCGCGGTCCCGCGGAGAAGGGCACGAAGGCGTAGTAGTGGCGGTTGGCCTGCCGCTCCGGCAGAAAGTTGTCCGGATCGAAGACGTTGGGATTGGCGTAGACCTTCGGATTGCGGTGCAGCAGGACGGTGGCCACCGTCACCGTGGCGCCCCTGGGGATCACGTAGTTGCCCGAGTTCAGCTTGAGGTCCTCCTGCAGCTCGCGGGCGATCAGCGGGACGGGCGGGTACATGCGCAGCGTCTCCATCAGACACCGCTCCAGATATTTCATCTCCAGTGTGTCCTGCCATTTTAAAAATAAAGGCATTTCAGTTATTAGGTTTTTTTTTATTTTTGAGAAAATCTTTGATGGATCATCCATGGTTACTTACCTGAAACGTGGCCGGCCTTTGTGAATCGCCGAAAATAGAGTCGAGCTCGGCGAGCACGCGGTCCTGGATCTCCTGGTGTATGCCCATCAGCGAGAGGAAGAACGAGGAGCCGGCTGCCGTGGTGTCGTGTCCCTCGAACATGATGGTGTCCACCTGCTCCTTGATCTCCGTGTCGGTGATGAGGGCCCCATTCTGGGCACTCTCCAGCATCAGGTCGAGGAAGGCCAGCCGCTTCTTCTCGCCAATGTCGTTGTCCTCCACATCCAGGTCGTCCTTGAGGCCGGCCGACTGGCCGTAGGAGAGTCCGGCCACCGGCGGAGTGCCCTTCTCCTCATCGGCGGACTGGCCACTGGCCACCGTTGAAGCCACTGCATCCGCATCCTGGGCCGCCTTCAGTTCGCACTGGGCCAGGGATCCGCGGGTGCCCTGCTCGAAGGCCGCCTTCTTGCTGCGGATCACCTTGGTGGTCAGCCCGTGGATGATGTTCAGCAGGCGACCCTGCTCCTTGTAGTACCTGGTCAGGGTGAACACGAACTCGTTGCGCAGGAAGATGCTGCGGTGGCGGGCGTGCAGGATGTCGCACATCCGCATCACGGCCATCGCGTACTCGAATCCCGACTTGTCCTGCGTCTTCTTCGACACGCCCATCGCAGTCTCTGGAAGGCGAGCGTACACTTAGAGAAATCTGCTCACAAATTGGGTGAGGTATTTATGTGCTCTTTAGTGATTTGTGATGCAGATTTTGTTAAAAATACTAATTTTTTAACGGTTTTTCAATCGTAGCTTAGCCAAATCAAGACGTACAGCCAAAATACCGACAGTTTTGAGCAGCTAACATCCTACTCTAACAATCCCAATCATTTAAAAGGAAATTTTTTTTTTGACCCATTTTTTCATTTTTTGTAAGGGGTACATCATCTATTTTTGGGATTCAGATTTTGGACAAAAATACCCATTTTTTTTAACTGTTTTTCGATCGTAGTTTAGCCAAATCAAGGCGTACAGTCAAAAGACCGACAGTTTTGAGGAGCTAACATCCTAAGCTAACAAATCCATTCATTTAAAATGAAATTTATTTTTTGACCCATTTTTTCATTTTTTGTAAGGGGTTGCATCGTCTTTTTTTGGGATTCAGATTTTGGTCAAAAATACCCATTTTTGAACGGTGCTTCGATCGCAGTTTAGCCAAATCAAGGCGTACAGTCAAAAGACCGACAGTTTTGAGGAGCTAACATCCTAAGCTAACAGTCCCAATCATTTTGAAGGAAATTTATTTTTTGACCAATTTTTTCTTTTTTTGTAAGGGGTTGATCATAATTTGTTGCACAAAATGGGCAAAATTAAAATTTTCTAAGTTTCAATGCTAATGGATATTGAATTTAATTACGAGCTCAACGAGGTATGACATTCCTTATTCTGACCTTTTTTTGCATTTTGACAGCAAAAAAACTGAGAAATTAGGGCAGAAAATAGGAATTCCGATTTTAGTCAAAAATTCTTAATTTTCTTGCGGGTTTTCGATCATAGTTCAGCTAAATCAAGGCGTACAGCAAAAATGCCGACTGTTCTGAGCAGCTAACATCCTCAGCTAACAATCCCCACCACTTTCCGGGAAATTTATTTTTTGACCAATATTCGCATTTTTTATAAGGGGTTACATCAGGATTTTTGAAAACAATTGACAAAATTAAAAAATTTTACGTTTAAATGCCAATGAATAGGGAATTTAATTACGAGCTCAACGAGGTATGACATTCCTCATTCTGACCTTTTATTGCTTTATGGCAGCGAAAACACCGACTCTTTTTGGCCAAAAACCGGGATTCCGATTTATGTTAAAAATTACTATGTTTTACCGGATTTTGAATCGTATCTCATCCAAATCTGAATTATTGTTTACTTTTTTGTAGTACCGGCTAAATAGAAAAGCACGACTATTTTATAATATCTGTAGATTAAAATTTTAAAAAACAACCAATTTCCAAAAATATTCTCCCCGGCTGTAAGGATCCTATTGACTTTATTTTGTTTGCATTTTTTAAAGAACGACCCATATTGGTAGTTTTAAACTTATGAATTTGTGGAACTTGAATTCTTAGTTGGATGGCCCTAAGAGATTCGTTTTTAATCTCAATGCCCAGCTAAGCAGTGCTTCATCACGTGTGTCAAATTCAAAATTGAATTTTTCCGCCCAGTTCTGACTCGGATTTTAATCGGATAGCTCTCGGTGTTTGGAGATCGAGATAGAGATCGAGATCGGAGATGGACCCCAGCTCAAATGGGGGGAAGTGGAATGCACTCGCCTGACCCAAGCGCCAATTGAACTTAACAAACAGACAACAGGCGGCGGAGGTAGCCCCTGGATTCCCCTGCCCATGCCGCCCACCATCCCGACTGTCTAATTGTAGATACAATGCATAAATAGATCTATAGATGACAGCATAAACGAGCTTACGGGCAGATCCGCTTCGAGAGTAGAATGTTTTTGTGCTGTGGGAAAAATGCGAGCCAGGAATTCGGCATTTGTTTCGACTTGAGGGAGAGAGCTTTCTCCCGGCGAAGGAGTTTTTAAACAATTTCTAGATCTAATTATGAATTTGGCTACATCTTATCTCACATCTTCAAAGAAGGACTTAAGATAATTAATAGAAAGGTTGATATTGATTTTATATACTTTAAAATTATAAACCTCTTTATATTAAACTCCAGAAACTGTCAAAAAAATATATTAAAAAAATATTCAGGAGATGAAAAAACTTTTATCCAATTTTAAAATTTGCAAAATGGTTATCTGTTTCCTCAAACAAAATTTTTGGAAATATTTACAAATATAATTTAGGCAATCTAATATTGAAAGCAAAATAGAAACATTACATGTGCAACTATAAAATGTAAGGGTAGGTCAGTTAGGTTATCTTAAATGGGGAACTATACGCCCTATTAGAAGATTCCCAATTATTGATTACCTTTCCATGTAGTATAAGGTACATTAGAGTATATAGTAGATAAACACTTTCATTTCGAGTTGCCTTGTATGGTGAAATGGGAAATCTGGCTTATGCAATGACATTTGGTTTTTCCTGCCCATTCTTACGATTCGAATTGAAAACATTTGCCCAGTTCTTCATAAACATTTGCTGGTTTCGTTCAGGTCTTAATTGCTAATTGCCCGTTTGCGTCAGACCCCATAATCGCCGTGAACAACAACCTCAGCTCTGGATGTCGGCCGTTGCATTCAAATTTTCCTGATTAAATGCTTAATGGCAATGCGACGTGCCTTTAATTGCAGCTCAGATTCGCTGGGATTTCGTTGCAGTTCGTTGCAGTTCGGTTCGCTTCGGAACTCAAGTCCCATCCAGTTGAGTTCTGTAATCTTGCATTGGCTGCATTTCAATTGAGGGCTCGGATTATGCAATGGCCTAGAAATCAATCCGAAATCGGCCGAGCGATCCACCGGCGACAATGTCATTAACATTGGCCGCCTTCCAATTTGTCTAGCTCTTGGCGGTTTCACTTTTTCCATTTTTCCAGGCCCCCAACGAGACGTGTTTGGCTTTAAGCGAATTGGCGTCTGGGTGGTATTTGCATGAGTTAACTACCCTATTGGGTGGCCCAAAAGTATAGGGATAGCCTTCACCTGCATCTACAAATGGGCGGTGATTTTACCCAAATCAAGCTTGGGATTTATGAGTTACCTTGGTATAGTCCTGCCACATATAAGAAGGTTCTATCATATTCCACTTGAATATGGCAATTGTTATGTTCGCAACATTAAAAATTTAACAACTTAGGACCTAATAAACTAATCCAAGTTTAAATAAATAACAAAACCTTTATAGATCCTGAGTTACTATGGGCGACTGGCCTAAATATTCCACAGTTTTTTGTGAATGTGCTTTAAAATCACTTAACGTAAGATTTGCATAGATATTAACCTTAGAGGAGCCTAATTAGCGGAGCCACTTCCAAGTTACGATAGTTAGTTTTTGCTGGGGAAAGACCTTTAATTATGGAATTTTCGTAACTAAGCCACATGATCGTTTAGAGGACAAAGCCAACCAGTTTGCAGCAGTTTGGCAGCTGGCGGTGGCATAATTCGGTTAGATCGGAGGCCGAGTTCTGGTATATATATGCAGAACTACATATATACATATCATCTGCGCCCATTGTTGGGGGCACAACAAAAGCAAGCAGAAATTTTTGATTTGTCAGTATATAGGGAAATGGGTCTGCACTCAATTGTGTGTGGCATACAATATAATGTATCATATATAGTATAGTATGTTTTAGCGGAGATTAGGTGACTTGGGCACACGCATATAACTGAAATGATGCTGGGACTGGATAGTATGGAAGTATAGAAGTATGGAAGTATGGGTATTGGGGATGATGATGTGCGAGTGCGTGTGAGTTGACTGTACTGTACTTTTTTGTGTGTAATCACCGTGACGGCAAAGTACGGCTATCCCTATCCCCGTATCCGTATCACGTACATCTATCTCGCATCCATATCTGTTCACTTACCCAATAGAATCTCCACGGTTGCCTCGCTCATGTAATCATGGCAATCAAACGTGCGACCATCCTCCGCACGCAGTTTCCTCACCACATTGCGCGAGTTCTCGTTGAAGAGCTCGATGAAGCTCTTCAAGACGTTCAGATGGAATGTGGGTGCGATCAGTTTGCGGTGCGAACGCCATTTTTGACCTGCAACAATAGAAGGCGCTATATGTAGATGTGTAGGTATGGAACCGATCGAGTGCTTCAATGGAAAAGCCTGAGTGAAAACGGTAGCCAATGCTAAGTACTCTAGGAGCTCTTAAAGCAAAAACTCTCCAAAAACTTTAAAATAAATTATTTTATGTCTATATAGCAATATACCTACAGAAACCAATTAAATACTGAAAATGGATCCAATGCCTTCGTAAAAATTTTTCATTTTAATCTATAGAAATATGTATAAGTAGTTTGTCAACTTGTCAATATATCGCCTAATATGTTGTAATCTGTTGTGATTACTAGACTATAATCTATACACTATGGTATCAGATTGTTATTTTGATAATATCCTTTTCGATCAAAAACATTATTAAAAAAATACTTCATTATTTTATTTTCCTTTGGTATATTTTCTTTAAAATCTTTAAAATACTAACTGATACTTTCAAATTTCGACTTCAAACGACTCCATAATTTTTCCCCGTGACTTTTCTGCGACGCTTATTTTATTTATAGCGGCATTGTTGTGCCAACTGTCAGGCTAGCGGATCGCTTAATTAATTTATGATTCCGCAAATTGCATTAGTGGCAAGTGGTCCTCAAACTGGCCCCACCTCCTGGGCCCCCAGAAACCCAGCCCCCAGAAATCCATACCCCCTTTCAGCCCCTCACCTGTGCTGATCAGCAGTCCATCGCCCAGCCAGGGCTTGAAGAACTTGTACTCGGAGGCCTTGTCGATATAGACGTGGCTGCTCAGCAGCAGCTCCACGTCCCGGGGATCGTAGATGAAGACCACCAGCTTGGGCCCGATCCACATCTTGGCTATGTGCTCGAAGGGGGCGCTCTTCCGGATGACTGTTTTGAAAACAGCTGCAGGCGATAGCGGGGTATTTGATCAGTTTTCGGAACTCTTTTTCAAGGTATTTACAATTCTTATTAAAATCAATACATGTTTTTGAAAAAAAATATGCGAATAAACTTCCTTTTAAGTAGAACCATGAGGAATACTTTAAAATATGAGCGAAAATATTCTTGAATACTATAAATTTTATACTTTAAAGTTATAAATTATCTTTATTATACAGGCATCTGTACAAACCAAAAAATAAATAGTTTCATTATTATTGACTTCACTATCAAAGATACTTTTACAAAGTTTTTTTTTTTATTTAAAGATGCAAATAAAAATACTTGTACTAAACTTTCATTACTTTCATTTCAATTTAAAAAAATAATAATTTAAATGTGTATGTGAATCATAGGTTTTTTTCTGACTTTTTTAAAGCACTAACATTAATTTCCATTAAAAATGGATCAAGAGTTAAATCAAATTCATTTTGAAACCAAATATAAATTGCACTTTGAAAACCATATTTTATATTAATTAACTAGGATACGAAGCGTATCAGTATCAATGATTTCTTTTAACACTTCATTAAAAGTTATTCCCACATCCCCGAAGGGCACTTAATTTTGGCATTTACATGAAGCGGGTCCAATCACGTCGAACAGGTGGCCCACGATGGGCAGGCCCCTGGGTCCCGGCAGTCGTCCGGCCAGCCTGTACAGGTGGGCCCGGGATAACCGCCAGTAGATGTACCACAGCACCAGCGTGGGCAGCAGCAGGAAGTAGAAGACGCTGCTGGGCGAGCCCAGGACGGCGTCCTTCTTCAGCACTTCCATGGGATGGGTGATCGCAGTCGGGGGATCCTATCCTTCAACTGGTTCGGTTGTCCAGACCAGCAAGAGCAAACAAAACACCAAAAACACCAAAACCAAACAAAAAAATAGAGGCGATCGCAGCACGCACACTGCCCAAGTACACGGATCGGATCGGATCGGGAGCTATCGATCAGCTATCCATGGGATGGGATGGGTTCGGATGGGATCGGTGGACCGGATGTTACTCGCTGCTCGTCCAGCGCACAACTAAACGGTGACAGCCCCTCGCCGAGGCATCCAGCGAAAATGATCACGAAAAATGAACACACAACCCACACACGGGGTATGGGTATGGGTATTGTGGTATTGGGATGGCGGAGTTACGGAAACGGACGCGGGACTCACAGATACAACCGTGCTTATAAATCAGAAATCCGAAATCAGAAACCATGGACCCGCACTCGCACTTCCAGCGACTAGCCAGCGTCGACGGTGCGAACGACTTTTATAGCCAACAATGTGCAGCATATCCACACTGAGAGAAACTATGATATCTTCAGGTCATTATCAAAAATAAATTAATCTTTTGGATCTCTCTTGAATTAAAAAATTATTGGGATTTTAGTATTGTGTTGAAGGAAGATCCTGATAAAGTTTAAGTCCATAGCTGAGCTTTACATACACTGATATAATATTATAAAGATAATTTTCTAATCCTCTATAAATAACATATATTTTAAAAACTATCATAATTATATTTTTATTTATCTAGAAAATAGGGGTTTTATTTGCAAACTTTGTTATTAATGATTAGAGGGATCCAAAATTGTTATGGTATTATTTAAACATAATACTTTTCGGAATTTCGACTTTGTTTTCGAGGTGAATTTACGTAAAATACTTTACAAAAATACTTTAGTATCAGTCATATTAAAAACCGCATTTCTAATGGTTTACTTAGGTAATTCATGAAATATGTATTGTAATATTTTTTAACACCTTATAAACCCTCCCAATTAAAAACAGTTCAAAATTGTTGAAGTCTTTTTCCTGGTTTATTGTTAAGATGACATTTATGCATGGTATGGACAAGAGTTACAATTACGATTAACGATAACTTAAGCTACCTCATACGGTTAGAATTCCTAGAAAAAAAAATATTATCTACGACTATTCAAGATAGATATTAAATCACCTGCCGCGCTTTGCATGTGTGAGGGTATGAGTATGTATGTGGTGGCCTCAGTACGTATGAGCAATGTTATTGCCTAGACATTTGACTATATAATAGCTATAAGTACGGACACTAACTTATGGAAGTCTGGCAGTGCTACAGTAGCCAGTGTCCACTGTAACCCATGGATGACGATCAGCAGCCTAACTACGTTTGATATTTTTCTTGATATTACTTTTTTGTTTTCTTGCTGGTTGCCCAAAATTATGCAGCACTTTTCACGATGGAAGCTCTCTGGCTGTCTGATTTGTTTATCTAATTTTGTTTTTCATTATCTTAGACAGAGGACTCGTAGATGACGATCTGCAGGACCTTGGGCTTGTTGTTCTGGGCCTCCTTAACCTCCTTCAAAATGGCATTTGTGATGGCCTCCAAGGCGGCAATGTCGGGACTGTGGTCGTTCTTCTTGCTATTCCATTTGGGCATGGAAACCTAGTAGTAAATTTATACTTAGTTGTCTTAATCTTTCAAGGTTCTATTTATAAAGATTTCATACCGTAAGGACCTTCTGCAGGGTTGAATAATCGAGACCTGTGCCGGCTGTTTCGCCCAATCGACGTAATGTCTCCGCCATGGGTCCCGAAAGCTCCTGGAAAAATTTTTTATAATTAAAAAAATATATATTTGTATTTAAAAATGGTTTATCTATACCTGTAGCTTGGCCCAACTGGTTGCATATTGTCGTCTCACAAGCTCAATGATAGTGGAAGTCAGGGCCAGGCCAATAAGAATATACAATGTGCACAGCAACATGTAGTTGGGTTTCTCTGGAAAATATGATTAGTATTGTAATATAATAATATCATATTTTCATATTGCACCAACTCACTTGGCACCAAATCACCGAAGCCGATGGTTGTCATGGTGATGAAACAAAAGTAGAAGCCATCGAAGAAGGTCCAATCATCTTCCCAAAGCAGAAGAAGACCAGCTCCAGCGGCCAAGTAAACGCCCAAAAAGCCAACGGCCAAAATGGCATAGAACCAGGTCTTGCCAATAAAGTTGGTGAACTTTGGCTTGGCTAGGGGAAATAGTAAGATTACAAATGAATAAATTGCAGGTAGCAGAGTGTAATGCTTGCAGAACCAACAGTGCGTATGAGTGATTTTCTGTTCTATGTTTTAATATTACTCATGCGCACCGTATCCGCTTGAATTGTTTTTAAACTTACTTTTTTTTTTACAAATTTACATAAATGAATGTATTATTTTTTTGTTTTATATGTTTTTAATTTTTTCTCAATTTAATGATATATTTTTTTCACAACCTTAATTTGAATATGATTAAATATTCACTTACTGGGCATATGATGGCCAAAAACAGAGACCGCTGAGGCAAACAATCGACCCCAATCGGCAATCACTGTGAGGGTGAATGGGATGCCGATGAGGGCGAAACAAATGCAAAATACCCGACCACCAGTCGTCACTGGCACAATATTGCCATAGCCTGAAAGTTTAAAGTGTCAATTAATTAAATTGGTCTAAACCAAAAGTCGAAATAAGCCAAAAGTACAGCGAAAGAATTTTATTTATGAACAGAAATCAAATTTAAAATAGGATTTGTAATAATTTGTTTTAAGTAATTGATAGATAGATAGATAGATGCCACAGCATAATAATAAAGAACAATCTCTTAAATAATGGATAATAAAATAAATATAGATACATATCTTAATTGCATGTGTTATATCGATTGCGACTAATCTTCCAATTATCACATTTATTATTTATGGTCATTACCCACCTATGGTGGTTAACACAGTCGATGAGAAGAACACAGCTTGCAGAATACTCCATCGCTCGTAGGGCTCTGGAAAGTCTTTATCGGCCACAATTAGCAGCCCCCCCTCAGCCGCCTGTTGAACGGCCTAAAAAAAAACATAATTAATGGATTATAAAGGATGGACTTTTGGGTAAATATAACATTATTCTAACCGCTTCATATTTGGCCAACTCAAAGGCCAAGAGCTGGTCGAGATTGCGAACCTCGGTGTTGTTCAATATGGTGTGCATGAATTTTTCCCTGTGGGTTTTCACCACCTCCTTGAGATGAGATAAGCGTTCCACCTCCGCAGGGCGTTCTAAATGCCTAAATATCTAAAAAAAAAAATTAAAAATGTACAATTCAGATGAGTTAAAAATTAACCTATAAGATATATTCATTAAAACTAATGATAAATAAATAAATCTTTTACTTGAAAAAATAAGCAGTTAATGAGTAAGCATTTATTTAGATTTATTCCAGGAATAAACCCGGGTGCCTTTCCTAGTATTCGTGGAAAAACATTTAAGATTCGATAAATTTTGAACTTTGCGCCATGACCTTCACCCCCACAACCTAACAACCTATAATAATTATGAACAATCACTTTACAATTATTTTTTATGAGCCAACAAAAATTTCCCATTCACTGGAATTCCAAATCTTATTGTTTGATGTTTTAGAGATGGAACGAAACGTAAATACAACAAAATCAAAATCTTCATTCAATTTCTCACACATCATCTTGGGAAATTTGTTTAACTTGTAGTATGTTGTTTTCGATATAAAAATAGTTTGTACAAATTGATTTTGAGTTTTATTTTTAACAGCAAATCGAAAGCGAACCAGCCAGAGAAATGTTGGCGAAAAAAAGCGAATGAATTTGGAAATTCAATTTAAATGTGTCAGACAATTTTTCTTCGACACACAAACACACTGGAAAGAAAAATGGGGTAAGAAAGATATACGGGCAGCCTTGAGTGACTCAAAGTGTTTCCTTCACTTGTGACTTTGACAGAGTTGCAAATGCTTGGAATTCCTGGCACGTCTGCATTTTGATTAATTGAATTTGCTGTCCTCGCCTCCACTTAATTTTCCCAAGTTTTCCCCAGTTGCACATTTTTGCATTTGGTTAATTAATTCCTGTCCCCCCAAAAATCAATCCGTTGCCCTTTTCCCCGAGCAATTTAAGGGCGACAAGTTGTCCAACTTGCAGTGGTGTCATGTCACTCACATCCCATAGATATAGATATATGTATATATAGAAGAAGGAGCGAGCAGACAGATCTGTAATTTGGTTCGTTACATCCGCAGACAGACTAACAGATGAAAGTTTGCGTCTGGGTTTATTTCTGTGCTGGCGCATAAATTATAATTATTATCGGACATGGGGTTATCTTTGGCGCTTCTCTTTTTGTTTGCTGACCCCTGGCAAAGAGGGGGATCCCCGTGAGTTATGATGGGGCAGGAAGTGGGGGTTAGGCCCTGGAAAATGGTAGTTGCTATGCTGCAAAAATTGTGACTGCTATTTTATTGTACAGTTTTTCTGAAATATATTTGAAAATATATACTAAATATATATAAATACAGTCCAAATTAACTTTAAGCTTGTTTAAAATATTACAAAAAATATTGGTTTTCTGGCCTTACTTTTCTATCTAGCTATCATTTTTAAAGGTAACCTTTTATTCAATAATAAAACTTAACAATATATATTTTTGCACAGCTTGTAAATCTATAAATAAATCAGAATTTATATATTATATATAAATATTAAACATAAATTTTGAAAATGAACGTAAAGCTATAAAAAAAAGAAAAGGCCTGCAATATAGAAAATTGGGTTAAGCCATAATCCAAACCTATGACAAATGACTCGCACTCCCAGTTTTGGCCATAAAATCACTGTTTCGCAAAGTGACTTCCTGCTCGCAACTCTTTGCTTAGGCCGGCTTATGGTAGTTGTCACTTTGTCACCCCATTTTGCACAACATAAATCACACACAGCGGAGCTAGAGTGTTTCCGCTACCGCATCCCCGAACCCAGATCCCGAATCCCAGAACCCCGGATCCTTTCCGCTCCTGACCCTCTGGCCATCATCATACATGTGCGGCAATTAACGCACGACATATGGAAATAATGGAGTTCCCCACGGTGCCTTAATCCGACCACCTGAACTGGGTTTCGGAATCTGCACGGTAAAAAAATTCCTTTACAACAAAATATTACAATATATATGAAGACAATATGTTTCACTGCTCCAAAAACCATCAAAAAATATATAATTCTTTTATAATATGGTGTTTAATTATTTACTTTATCAATCCTAAAAAGATACACACATGTGAAAATGATTGGAATAGTTATTGAAGTACTCATCACTTTAACGATACCCTTTATAATTTGATATACTTATTAAATATCCCATGTTTTTCCCAGCGTAATTCTTGCCTATTCGGGAGTGGCAGTATAAATACCTAAAAAGGGGCTGGACCTAATCCAGATTGACAAGCCAGGCTAGAAACCACAACCAGTTTCGTAATCCCGTTTTTACAGCTGCTACTTTTTTACTTTTTTTAATACCCAACGCCAGTGTCCAAGCGCGATTTCTCTTCATTACAAAGAGAAAGCAAAATAATAAAAAAAATCCCAACTAAAATGTTTTTGCAACTCCAGCTGTTGGTTGCTATTATGAGTATAATAATAATGATGTGCGCGCCCATTTAGCGGGCGATAATTCATTTCCGCTGCGAGCTCCCCAAAAGCAGGCTACGGTCAGTAAACAACCCGCAGACTGAATGGCAGCCCCAAGCCCGAACAAGGTCGCAGATTGACTCAATACACCATCCTTCGAACGATGAAGCCCCGGGGTTTCGGGGCAAGTTTTTGCAATAATGATATATAGGGGGACGTATTTCGGGGTCTATGGGATGCATTAAGCTGAATCTTGGGATGAGCAAACGGGACGGGATCGTTTCTAATAAAAATATTAAAGTAGAACATTTCAAAATTCCTCCAGAAACTCATAGAGATATCCCACGCCTTAATCGGGATCCAATAACTCAAATTATGAAATTTGGAAGTGCAGGTTTGTGTACTTAATTTAAGAACCACACGGAAAAATCGAACATAGGAATGGGCTAAAATTTGAACCCTCGTTGAAAAGAAATATTTAAATGTAGAATATTAGAGAATTTAACTACAAATTCAACGAGACATCCCACATCTAAATCGGGATCCAATTAGTGGAGTTATGCAATTTACAAGTGCAGTTTTGGGTTCCCATTCTGAAAACCATTGGAAATACAGAAAAATCGAACATGAAAATGGGTTAAAATTTTGACCATCGTAAAAAAGAAATATTTAAATGTAGAATATTAGAGAATTTAGCCACAAATTCAACGAGGTATCCCACGTCTAAATCGGATTCCAATTACCCAAGTTATGCAATTTTGTAGAACAATTTTGGGTTCCCATTCTGAAAACCATTGGAAATACGGAAAAATCGAACATGAAAATGGGTTAAATTTTTGACCCTCCTGTAAAAGATACATTTAAATGTAGAATATTAGATAATTTAATTACAAATTCAACGAGGTACCCCACGTCCAAATCGGGATCATAAAACTCAAGTTATGGAATTTAGAAGGTCAGAATTGGGTTCCCTTTCTCAAAACCATTGGAAACACGGAAAAATCGAACATGAAAATGGGTTAAATTTTTGACCCTCCTGTAAAAGATACATTTAAATGTAGAATATAAGAAAATTCAACTACGAATTCAAAGAGGTATCCCACGTAGAAATCGCGATACTATAACTCAAGTTATGGAATTTAGAACTTCAGATTTGGGTTCCCATTCTGAAAAACATTTGAAATACGGAAAAATCGAACATGAAAATAGGTTAAATTTTTGACCCTCTTTGAAAAGAAATATTTGAATGTAGATAATTAGGAAATTAAAATACAAACTCATAGAGGTATTCAACTTCAAAATCGGAGACCAATAACACAAGTTATGGAATTTAGAAGTACAGATTTGGGTTCCCATTCTGAAAACCATTGGAAAAATCGAACATGAAAATGGGTTAAAAATGTGATCCTCTTTCAAAAAAAATGTTTAAGTGCAGAAAATTAGAGAATTCAACCACAAACTCAGCGAGGTATTTCACGTCTTAATCGGTATCCAAACAGTCAAGTTATGGAATTTAGAAGCGCATATTTTGGGTTCCTAATCTGAAAGCCATTGGAAATACAGAAAAGTGGAACATGAAAAGGCTTAAAATTTTGGACCCTCTTCTAATAGATAAACTTAAATGTAGAATATTAGATCATTAAACTACGAATTCATAGAGGTGTCCCACGCTTTAATCGGAATACAACATCTCATGTTATGAAATCTTGAAGTGCAGTTTTGTGTTCCCAATCTGAAGGACACACTTCAGATAATTAAATTCAGCCCTGAACAATATATCAAAGAGTCCAGTATCTCTTTATTTATTTATCGAGATCAAGAGCAAGTGCTAATGCCCGAACCGAGCCATCACACGTTTTAGACGGTCTCACTCAACGAACTCGAGCAAGAAACCATAAATCTCCACATTCCGTATTTATGATTATTTACCAGAAGAGAACATTATAACGAGGGCCGTCGGCGAAGAAAAAACAAAACAAATGCGCCGGCCCAATGTATAATAAATATAAATTGGTATTATTTATTGAAAATTAGTTCCAGGGGCGGCAATGACCGCCTGTCCAGGACCCTGACCCAACGGGGAAAGTGGCGAAAGTTTCGGGGTCCTGCCAAAACGGAAGCGTCGTGAAAATGCGAAAATGGACAACGGCGTCCGCTGGGCGCCCTTTCGTGCTGATTTCGCTTCAACCTTAAATATTATTTGACTTTCCCGCCAAAAAAAAAAAAAAATAAAACGCAGACTTGTTTGTTTATGGGCAGGGCCAGAAAAAAAGCGCAAAACACTTTTCCACATTTTCCGTATCGCCGCGCTTTTCTGTCGTTCGCGTTTAAAACCGCGGGCGGGCAGCGTCAGCGAATCTGGTTTGTTGATTTTATGAGTTTATGATTTGATACCAAATTAGACATAATTTCCACAAACTTGTTGTTGCTGCACGCATAAATCGCTGCCAGTTCATTAAGTTTTGATTATTTATTGAGTGCGCTTCGCTCGTCGCAATAAAACCGAATGGCATGAGGGCTCTTTGCCAGAAGATCTATTGTAAAACTTAACGATAGAACTTGTTAAGTGATTTGATGGCAGCACCAAATCTAGGGATCTGTGGATAATAACTAGCTGAAAATTGGCGGGCCGTATTAACT